GGGGCTGTGGGAAAGCTCCTGGGGGTGTGTGTTGGGGGAGGGAAGAATGTGGATTGGAAAGTGTGGTGGTTGGGGTTGCAGAAACTAAACATAGTCCACCCATCAGGAAGGATTTAGTACTAAGCTGCAGGCCTCGAGGCAAGAGATGAAATTCGTTGACTTTTCCATCGTCCGTTGCCCATTAGTGCGAGCTTCTGCCCCTGGGGAGGAACCGAGGTACTCACCCACCTGCACCCAACCTTCCGACCTCCCAGCTCCCGCACACTGGAGCAGCAGGTGGAAAAGCGCTGGGATATCAAAGGCCCTGGGCCCAGTCCCTGACACACAGTAGGACCTCAGCTGCTCTGGTTCTTTCTGCACTAACTCAGACTGAAGAGGCGTCACTTCTCTCTAATGCCCCACCTTCATGGTGAAGCATGGGTTTCCAATTCCTCCCCAGTCCCCTAACACTGGTGTTTTTTAAAACACACGCAGAAAGGCACAGGTAGTGTGGGCACCACGCGGCGAAGACCCTGACCCCCAGCAGCTAAGCAGGAAGGGACTGGCTGGACCTAAGCACTTCCCCCAGCGGGAACTGACGGATGTAAATGAGGCAGTCGGGGTAACTCGGGGGCACAGAAGCCGCGAGAGGCGCGACAGCCGCGGGGACCCGGGCCTGGACTAGCCGGCCGTGCCCCGCGCCAAAGCCCCCGAGAAAGGCAGGTTCCTGTTCTACGCGCGGACTGGTGGGACACTTTTTCCTCCCAGTGCAGAGGATTGCCCAGGAGGTCAAGTCGCCCTTCTCAACCTTTCTCATTTGAATACATGAAAATGTGAGTCGTTTTTGGCAAGACGATGCTCGCTCGCGGCCAGACGGTTTTGTCTCCCTCGGGCGAGGCGGGGTGGGGAGCAGCTCCGGCTCCGGCATCCGGCTGCGGGCGAGCCTGGCCAGCGCACCGGCCCGTGCAGAAACCCGGTGGAGGCTCTGGGAGCAGTCAGGGAAGGGACAAACCCAGTGGCTGTTTTTCTTTCAACAGAACAGGCGAAGTGGTGGATAAGTGTTAAGTGTTGGTCACCCACTCCTACACTCAGACACACACACACACACACACGCACGCACACGCAGGACGCCGCAGTAGAAGCGGACTCCAAGCAAACACAGCCAGCCAAGGCCCGTCTGTGGTCCCAGGGCCCTTACCCACTGGGAGTTGGACGCCTCGTGTGTTGTGAATTCCTTAATGACTTAACGATGGAAGGAGGGGAGGAAGGAAAGGCAGTGTGAGAGAGGAAAGGAAAGAGAGGCAGCGAAGGAACAGGAGGCCGGGAGTGGGCCCAGTGCTGCCCGCTGCGCGCCACAGGTCCGGGCGGTGATGGCCCCGCGGACACGGGCCAAGGCGCCTCGTGCGGGTGAGGGTGGGATGCAGGAGGCAGACTCCGGAGGCCGCCCTCGCCCGCTGCCCGGGCCCCGTCCCCAACCCAGCGCACACCTCTGCTTTACAACGTACGCTAGTCGCTTCCAACATCCCAGGCCTTCCCCGCTCCAAAGCCGAGCCAGGTCCCAGTCGGGGTCGGCTTTGAACTGGGTTAAAGACCACAGGTCTTAGTTTCCTTGCGTCTGATTCTCCTCGGCGGGAGGAGGACATAAGCTTCTTATCTGGGTGGGGGGTGGAGGCCCGCGGAGGGGCTCGGACCACCCCGCACCGAGAGTGGCTGGACCTGCGGCGGCCGTGACCTGACCACAGCCCCGACGGGGGGAGGGGCGCAGACCCTGCCTTCTGCCCACCCTGCACCCCTCTGAACGACAGGCCTCTCCCTGCTCCTTTCGCCGTCCGCACCCTCTGCTTTGCGCGCTCCAGCTGAGGGTGTGCGGCCGCCAGGGGCTGCCCCGGGGCCTCACGCTGGGAAGGCTAAGCTGCAGCAGCCGAGCTGGGTCAGGGGACCTCGTGCCGCCCCTCGTGCGGGGCCGACTGCACCGGAGCAGGCCCCAGGGGAGTTGCAGTCGCCGCTTCCGGGAAGGGCGGAGCCGCTTCCTCTGCCCGCGGCAGCCCCGAGTTCCCGCGCCCCGCGCGCGGTCCTCACCGCCGGGGCTTCCTGCACTACAGGAGCCCGCCCTCAGCGCTGTCTGGGCGGACGCAGGCTGCCCCAGCCCCATAGGCACCCAGGCGATGTGGCACGGGACGCCCTGGGAGCCGCCACGTGGCTGCTCTCGTTCGTCCCCTGCGCCGGGGCCACCCAGGCGGCCCAGAGCTGAAAAAAGGTCTCGTGCACCCTATTGCCCGCACGTTTGCAAAGCACAATGCTGCAGTGGTGTGAGGGCCTGTTTGGGGAAAGAGGTCAGGAAGGAGCTGGCTTAGGCGGCCACGCAGGTTACCTGGCTGCCCGCTGGCCAGTAGCCTCCTAAGTTTATGGCTGCGTGAACCTCTGTGTTCCAAGTCAAAGGGCGGCTCCGCCACGCTGATTCACCCCTCAACCTCGAAGAGACTGGCCGGCTTGCACCTGGGCACACTACGACTTCAGCTCCTGAAGTTGTCGGGTGTTGTGCGATGCTGCCCCTGAGATGCCACATGCCAGCTCGCCTTGGTGGCCTCTGGCAGGATGCGCGCGGGATTCCAAGCCCCTCTCCCCCGGCGGTGCCGGCTGGGGGCACCTGCCAGGCACTCAGCCTTCCTAGTCTGCGACAGGAGGCGCTGTGTTCGCGCGGATTCCCGGGGCTGCCGACCCGGGAACCCGAGACCTGGACCAAGGCTGTAGGGCTGACTTGTCCAGACCATTGTGCACCCCCAGTCTTGGCCTTTGAAGAAGCCTGGGAGAAACCTCACTTTGGCCATTGCTCTACGACCGACTGGGATATATATATGCGCATATACACGACTTTCTATATAAGTGACTAGGACTTTCTATATATATATATTTGACTTTAAGAAAAAAAGAGAGGCCAGTAGGTTTGGAAACTAGCAGCTGCGGCCAAGCTGTTACTGCCCTTAGAAAAGCCGCCAGTCGTGCTCAACACTGCAGAAGCGCCAAGTTGGAGAATCACCGGGGGCAGGAACAAGGAAGCTCATTAGCCCTGAAAGTCCCCCACACCCGTGTACTTTGCAAATGGAACTGAGGTCCTGCTGCTGACGGGAACTTTGAACAAAAGAAGGAGTTGCTGAGACATATTCACAGATACATTTACACCAAGTGATAGGACCGCCTGGCAGTGACGGGAGCCGGCTCTGGGGAGGGAGCCTGCGCTGCCGAGTTCCAGGTGGATTTAATTTCACTCATGCCTTTCCTGACAATGTGACGTGTCCTCCCTCCCATGCACTTTTTTTTTTTTTAAAGGAATTGTAATCCAATGCTTTTATCTTTTTTATTTCCTTAACTGCACATCTTCACCCTCTCTGCTCCCCTGCTGATTTAAGAGATTTGTTTGGTTCAAGGATTTAACGCGATTCTCTTGCCAGATTTCAAGGAAGAAAGGTTTAAAAGAACAAAGCACGGGGTGGGGGGAATAAGCAATCTGTTTGGAAGACAAGTAAAAACACATTTCTTAAAATGAGATTAATGGCATTTTTAAAACTTGGCAAAACAAGAATAGTTTGCGGGCTCTCACTTTAGACTTTTATTTTATTGCCACTTAATGGAACCCATGGATGTACAGGCAGTACAACACCTGCTTGGTCTCTCTCACGCACACACACACATACTTAGAAAAACACACGCGGAGACACAGCACCTGCCACCAGCTCAGCGCCTGTCACCCAGTCTCCTTCCCCAGGACACGCGGGCACTCCACTACCCAAAAGGAGACTTTCCCACCCATGTCTAGGAGCCGGCTCAGGCCCTGGGGTTCTAGGTCGGCCCCTCCAGGTCACAGAGCCGAGAGCGCCCTGCTGCCAGCCGCCTCTGGCCCGGGCTTGGCGCTGGGCGAGCTGGGCAGACGCGTTCCAGCGCCGGCCCCTGCGAGTCCAGCCGAGGCGCGTGTTGAGAGAGACGTCCCCTCCCCCTGACCTTTCCCTATCAGAAACCAGACGGTCGCCTCCGGCTCGGTCCTCTGAGCTACTGAAGGGGGGCGGGAGGAGGAGCCGGGCAGCGGGAGGACGGCCCGACGTGGGTCCGCCTGCCCTATCACACAGACATCTGCTCTCAGTTTCTTCCTCTTCACGATCGCTAACAGATGACGAGGGGAGTGGAGTGGATCGAGGCGGAAAAAAAAAAAAGTTATGTCATAAAGATATAAAACGGTGCTGTGACTCACCTGCTCTTAGCCGCAGGTACGAGTTTCGTGGCAGCGCCTCCGCTCTGCTAGCCGGGAGCCCGGGCCGGCCCGACGTCACCGGCTCGGCTGAGTCAGCGACGAGGCCAAATCGGGGCTCTTCCCCTTTCCTAGCCCAGGAGGGAAAGGAAAAATAAAAAGTCTGCATCCTTCAGTCTCCCGGGACTGCACTTTGGGGTCAGGAATCAGGAAAGGTGGGCGGGGTGGGCGTGGGGGGGACAGGGACAGGCAGAAGACCGTACGGGGCCTCAGCCCAGGTCTCGGGCGTGCTGAGCGCCTCCGGGGAGGGGCCCCGGGGTCATTCGGCCCGCACAGTCCCTAAGCTCCGGCCCTTCTCCGGCTACGCGGTTCCCATCCCGAGTCCTCGCCTGCCTGCCCGGCCCCGCCTATTTTTCTTTCTTTTTTTTCCTGTTTTTCCCCCCAAAGGGGGGGCTACACCCCAACGCAACCCCGTTCCCCCTCTTTTCCCGGCCTCCGGGCTTAAACCAATTACACTGCTTTGCAAACAAAGTGAGGGCCGGGTTTGGGGGGAGGGGGCCCGGCGGGAGGGGCGCCGCTCGGCGGCGGCGGCGGCGGCGGCGGCGGCGCGGCGGGGCGGGAGGCGCGGCGGCCGGACTGGCGGGCGGCCGCCTCGCAGGTGCACCTCGGGCTTTGTAGGTGCGAGCGTCTTTGTGCAGCGGACAAATGGGGAGAGGACGAGGAGGTGGGCACTCGGGCGACGTAAGATCCACATCAGTTCAACTGCACTCGCCTCGCAGAGGCCGCCCGCTCAGTTCCCGCCGAGGCGCTCCCCGGCGCCGCGCTCCGCGGCAGCCGCCTGCCCCCGGCGCTGCCCCCGCCCGCCGCGCCGCCGCCGCGCACGCCGCGCCCCGCAGCGCCGGGCTCCCTCCGCCCAGGGGTGGCGTTGGGCCCGCGCGGGCGCTCGGGTGACTGCAGCTGCTCGGCTCCCCTCCCCCGCGCCGCGCCGCGCCGCGCGGCCGCCCGTCGCCTCGCACAGGGCTGCATGGTCGCATCGGGCAGGGTGGCTCCAGGATGTTAGGGGCTGTGAAGATGGAAGGGCATGAGAGCAGCGACTGGAACAGCTACTACGCGGACACGCAGGAGGTGAGAAGCGGGCGGGCGGCGCGGCGCTCCCAGTGCCCCAGTCGGGGGAGGCTGGGGCCAAGTGGGCGCCGGGCAGGGCGGGCGGCGGCGGGCGGGCAGGGGGCGTCGCCTCGGTGCCCCGGGTGCATTCTGCGGCCGGCCGGATGGTGGGGGACGGCCCCGCGGGCGCTCGGGACCCGGGCGCTCGCAGCGGGCGAGAAGAGTTTTAGGGAACTCCAGGCTTGAAAAGCAGCGCTCCGGGAAGTACTTGGCGCTTGCCCGCGGAGAGCGGGAGCCGAGCCCGGCCGGGGGGCCACGGCGGGCGGGCGGGCGCCGGCGCGGGCTGAAAGCAGCTTCGAAACCCAGAGCCGTCCCGCCGTGTAACAATCGGGCATCTTCTGGTGAGAACGCCCTGCCGCTCCTTTGGGCGTCTAGAGAGTGAAAACGATTCCTCAATTTTACAAAACTTGTTCTTCAAAAGCCCTGTTCGGGGAGAAGCGTGCTCCTTCGTCTCCAGAACCGCTGGGTGGCGCTGGTGCGAGCCGAATCTTTTTCCAGAACTCGGGGCCAAGAACCTGTTTCTCTTCATTGTCCCCTTGGTGGCACGTTCATGGGGTTTATTTTACAGTGCTCACAAAAGGACTGCGAAGCCACCAGGTACAGGCAGGACTGCCACCTACTAAAAGTATTTTTCTACGAACAGCTGGCGATACCCCCCCCCCTCAAAGTTTGATTAGCATCATTGAAAAGACTTGCTGGAATTGTCTTGGATAATCCTGAGAAGACGAAAAGAAAATAAACGCCAAAGTAGAAAATATCTTAAGACGTGGACAGAAAAAAAGCTCGAAATCAGGAAATATTCTCAAGGCAATTGGTTTGTGTGTGTTTCTGGACTCCCAGATTTACCTGAGTGCATTTGCACGCCTTACCTTAAGGGATGTTGCTACTTAAATCGAATTGTTCACCACTTAGGATTTCTCTTTAAGTCACAGTTGCTGATGAAAATCCTTGCGAGGAATCATTACTCTTTGTTAAATTATCAGACAGTTTTTAGCATCGCTGGGCTCTGCGTTTTCCCAAATGGCTGTGGATGGGTTTTAACCAGCTGATGGTTTTTAGAAACCCTCAGAACTCTTAGGTTTAACGATGATGCAGACATCTCGACCCACCACAGTTACGACCTCTAAAGAACCTTCTGTTCCTTTAAAACTGAGAATTGGGAACTAGAATATAGCCTGAGGAGAAAATAAGTCGAATTTGATCTACAGATTTAAAAATATTTGAAACTACTCCTGTAGTGTCAACCGCCGGGCTTTAAAAATGATCAGCGGCAATAGATCAATATTTAGGGGTGGGGGGTGTGTGATTATTTCAATAAATTGTGCCTCCGAAATTGTCAAACCCTGCGGGACTGGAAATCCTAGCAAAACCCATGCAAGTTTTTGAACGGCCTGCAGAGGTGCGAACCGGTAGTTGTGACAAAGTTAAAATGCACGCGGAGAGTTGTGTCAGGCAGCGCTTTCCCCCTTCTATTGAAGATCTGTTGTTACTTTTATCTCCCAAAACTGACTTCTGTGTCTGCGTCCCCTTTAATATTACAGTAGCTACAAGAAGGCGGAGCACTCTGCTTCTATACTCTCAAAAAGTCATCATTTGTCAAAAAATAAAAAATTTTTAAAAACCCTCCTAAGATCATCAAGGCCATCAAGTTGCTGGGAAATTAGTGGGTCAGGGCCTCCGACGGCTGCCGGCTCTGCTCCGGCAGGGACTTCGTTAACAGCCGCCTGGCACCCCCGAGCCTGCGGCGCGGCGGTAAGGGCCAGGCCGGAGCGAGGTGGGCGCAGGGGCTGGCTTCTGCGGCCCGCGCCGCGCACGCAGGGCGCCCTAGGGGGCAAGTGAAAAAGCAGAGTATTCTGCTGTCCGAGTTCTACAGACGCTTTGCCCCCAAAGGGCGCTTTGCCGAGGCTGGTCCGGGGTATTGACTTGGGCTACCGCCTGGCGCTGGATGGAGGAGGCGGGGAAGGCTCCCCAGGCCTGGCGCGTAAGGCGATTACACATCTTCCCAGGGACATATTTTCTGTGTGCGCTCGCCTTTCATGCCTGCCGCGCTGGGATGGTCCCCCTGCGGTGCAGGACATCTTGGCTCCGTCTGGGGAGAGCGCCCAGCAGTTGGCCCCGGGTGTGTGTGCGTGCATGGGGATGTGGGGTGGGGAGGGGGTCGTTGCGTGCTTGGCAGGCGTGCTCTCCCGGGCTGGCCCCCTCCCCTGGCCGGCCAGACGACCCCCCCCCCCCGCGTCCAGCGCCCACCTCTAACCCCGCCCTTCGGGGCCTCTTGGCTCGCTGTCTCCGCTCCAGGCCTACTCCTCCGTCCCGGTCAGCAACATGAACTCGGGCCTGGGCTCCATGAACTCCATGAACACCTACATGACCATGAACACCATGACCACCAGCGGCAACATGACCCCGGCCTCCTTCAACATGTCCTACGCCAACCCGGGCCTGGGGGCCGGCCTGAGTCCTGGCGCGGTGGCCGGCATGCCTGCGGGCTCGGCGGGCGCCATGAACAGCATGACGGCAGCGGGCGTGACGGCAATGGGGACGGCGCTGAGCCCGGGTGGCATGGGCGCCATGGGCGCACAGCCCGCAGCCTCCATGAACGGTCTGGGCCCCTACGCGGCCGCCATGAACCCGTGCATGAGCCCCATGGCGTACGCACCGTCCAACCTGGGCCGCAGCCGTGCGGGCGGAGGCGGCGATGCCAAGACGTTCAAGCGCAGCTACCCGCACGCCAAGCCGCCCTACTCCTACATCTCGCTCATCACCATGGCCATCCAGCAGGCGCCCAGCAAGATGCTCACGCTGAGCGAGATCTACCAGTGGATCATGGACCTCTTCCCCTATTACCGGCAGAACCAGCAGCGCTGGCAGAACTCCATCCGCCACTCGCTGTCCTTCAACGACTGCTTCGTCAAGGTGGCGCGCTCCCCCGACAAGCCGGGCAAGGGCTCCTATTGGACGCTGCACCCAGACTCCGGCAACATGTTCGAGAACGGCTGCTACTTGCGCCGCCAGAAGCGCTTCAAGTGTGAGAAGCAGCCGGGGGCTGGCGGCGGGGGAGGCGGCGGCGGTGCCAAGGGCGGCCCCGAGAGCCGCAAGGACCCTTCGGGCGCCGCTCACCCCGGAGCCGACTCGCCCCTGCACCGGGGGGTGCACGGGAAGGCCGGCCAGCTAGAGGGCGCGCCGGCCCCCGGGCCCGCCGCCAGCCCCCAGACTCTGGACCACAGCGGGGCTGCGGCGACAGGGGGCGCCTCCGAGTTGAAGGCTCCGGCCTCCTCGTCTGCTCCCCCGATAAGCTCTGGGCCCGGGGCGCTGGCGTCTGTGCCCCCCTCCCACCCGGCCCATGGCCTGGCCCCTCACGAGTCCCAGCTGCACCTGAAGGGGGACCCCCACTACTCCTTCAACCACCCTTTCTCCATCAATAACCTCATGTCCTCCTCGGAGCAGCAGCATAAGCTGGACTTCAAGGCCTACGAGCAGGCACTGCAGTACTCGCCCTACGGCGCCGCGCTGCCCGCCAGCCTGCCCCTGGGCAGCGCATCGGTGGCCACCAGGAGTCCCATCGAGCCCTCAGCCTTGGAGCCAGCCTATTACCAAGGTGTGTATTCCAGACCCGTCCTAAACACTTCCTAGCTCCCGGGACTGGGGGTTTGTCTGCCACAGTCGCGCTGGTAGCAGGAGAGGAAACAAAACAAAACAAAACAAAGCAAAAAAAAAAAAAGCCAACAATAAAACAAAACAAAAACTCACACACACCAAACTGACAACAGCATAAATTCCTGACAGCTATTTTATTTCTTTTCTCGTGCACAATCTTTCCCCCAGTGCAAAGGACTGTTACTTTATTATTGTATTCAAAACTCATTGTGTACATTATGACAAAACCAACCAATCCCCAAACCAACAAGTTTTTTTCCTGGGACGTTGGATGATCCACAAGAGTGTGTGTGTGTGTGTGTGTGTGTGTGTGTGTGACTCTCCTTCCTTTTTCCTTCCTTTCTGTCCTCTTTCCTCTTCAGACATATTCTAGTCTGGGCAGGGTTTATTTAAAAAAAAAGTGGTCAAGTTTGTAAAATATTTGTGCTTACACACACACATGCGTGCACACACATGCACACACACAAGTTTACAGGTCTGTGGCAATACTCTTAAACCCTAAGAATGGAAGTGAAGAAACAGGCAGACACTAGGGGCTCTTAAAAGTATGGAAAGACTTCGCTGCTGTTTCACAGCAAGACGTAAACAGACTGCAAACACCAGAGCCATTGGGTTTTTTCAGTTTACCTTTCCGGTCCCTTCAGATAGCAGGTGTTCTTAAATGAAATTCATATACATTGTGTTCAGACTTAATCATGCACATGCTCACATTTGTAGACATCCTCCATATATTTACATAACTTATAGATGTAATAGTTGGTGATACACATGCTACTGTTTTCAAGAGTTGCCTGACCAAGAAGTTACAAGGACCCCACAGCCCTGGTCCTTTCTGCCCACATAGGAATTGCCCCCCTGAGGAACTCTGCACCTGGCTTTGCAGAGTGCCATGGTCATGTCATTCTGAGGTCACATAATGTATAAAACTAGCTTTTGTGCATACCGTTGAATATTTTTCTCCAGACTTTTGGGCAGTATGATGATATTGGAGGAGAGAGAAGTTGTAGGGAGCTGTATTCCAAAATTTGGTCCAAGATTCCGAAGTCCTATTGATTGTGGCCATTTTAATTATTGCCATCATGTGCTTGTTTCATCCAGTGTTAATGCACTTTCCACAGTTGGACATGGTGTTAGTATAGCCAGACGGGTTTCATTATTTTTTTTGCTTTCTCAATGTTAATTTATTGCATGGTTTATTTCTTTTCTTTACAGCTGAAATTGTTTTAAATGATGGTTTAAATTACAAATTAAAATGTTAATTTTTATCAGTGTGATTGTAATTAAATATTTTGATTTAAATAACAAAAATAATGCCAGATATAAAGCCGTGGAATATGTTCTTGATCATTTGCAGTTAAGAACTTTAAATAAATCAAATGTTAAGAAAAAAGGATTTCTGTATTTTCCTTCACTTAATTAAATCCAAAATGGATATTATGAATACATTTTTTTTATTCTGGAACTTAATATAAATGTCAAGGAAAATAATCCAAAAAAGCTTTTTTCTGATTTAAATGAACATGTAGCTAGTGAAAAGTATTGAAAGTAAATCAACTAAAGTGAGTAGATAAATTGTTTTAATTTTCCAAGTATTGAGAACTGGAAAATCTTTGTTCCCAGTAATGTTTACTTCAGTGTTTCTATGCGGGCTTAAACTTTCTATTTCCTTTGCATCTTCCCAGTGTTAAAATCAAGTATTGTTAATTCAGCTACCTTCCCCCCTTTTGCAATGCATGGACTCTCCTAGTGAGAATAAAATGACAGCCTCGGGCTGCTAAAATTAAGTTGTCTGCAACAGAGACTCCTGAACCACCCTCTTCCTTAAAAGAGAAACAAAACTTAGCCATCACGGCAGCTTTGGTGTGGACAGGAGGAGGAGAGTTAATTCACTCCTGTGTGCGTAGGGAGAGCTTTGTGCCATCGGGACTTTTCAGGGTAGCTGCTATTCTGTATTGTGTAAAGGTATTTTTGTAATATTATTTCTAAAAATATTGCTCCTAAGAACTTAAAATGGTTTGTTTGCCTTCTAAGAAGCTTTTAAATGCAACTTCACACCCCAGAGTTGCCTAGGATCACAAAATCATTAATCTCCTTTGATAGTAGGCTCACTTTCCAGTCCACCTATTTCTTTGTAAGTCTTGTTGGGATTGACATCAACAGGAACAGCCCCAGCCCAGGCAGAGGCTGGCCGGCCTGAGCCTTCGGTAGGAACTCCATCCTCACCAGGGCTTGAACTTGGACAGTCTATGCTTTCTTCGCCCCACTGCACACCGCGGACTAGATTTTCAAAAGGAGCTGCGTGAGTCCCTTAATTATGGCGTAATTGCCTCCCCAGATGAGAGAAAAGGTTTTATCCAGCACTTGAGAAAAATTCAGAAATCCCAAGCCCCCCTCGTTTCTGCTCATGAAAGAGCGAGGGGCGGAAACGTACTGATTTGGGTCATTTCAAAACCTAATTTGGAAGCCTAGGAAATGCTTTAAAATCCCAGAGAGGGGAGAAGTCTTCAATCTCAACGGTTGTTCATATTTATAAGGCGAGTAAACAAACGTTGGTCAATTCGAATTCCAAATGTACAGAAGCGCGTGAGCTTTGGTCGCGGAATTTTTCCCGGCCGCACTGAATCTAAAACATCTAACTTTTTGTGGTGTCGCCTCCGTGATGTTCTCCTCCTCTTGCAGGTATTGTCCGTGTCCCGGCCCCCACCTCGCGCCGCGCTAAGGGGGCCTTCACTCTCGCTCTCTTGGTGGAGCTTCAGTTTTAGGTTCGCCGGGGGCCAGGCGAGCCACCGCAGGCTCACGGCCGCCACTTGGCCGCTCTTGCCTTGGCGCAAAGGCCACTCCGGCCCAGAGCTTCTGCCCCGTAGGCGTCTCCTGCGATTCTCAGACCCCGCACTTCGCCACCTCCGAGCCATGCGTTCTGGGACCCGCGCGTCACGACGCGCGCGGGTTGGGGCCAGGGCAGCTGGTTGCTGGGGAATGGGGGGCAGAGCAGGACCGCAAGCATCTCGAGGTGACAAGTGCAGTTAGTTCTTCATTGTTTGGGCATTTTCCCTCCTAGCGAATAAATCTTCTGTTGAGCCCGAGACCTAAAAGTCAACAAAGAAGGCCAGGCGCCTCGTTACCGCGCCCGCGGCCCCAGCGGCCCGCGCTGCGGAGGCCGCTCCCGCTGCGTAATCCCTTCCTCGGAAACCCGGACACACAAACGCCGGAACGCCCGGGGCTGGGGCGCCGCGCCCCTGGGCCAGCAGCAAAGCGACCGTGGTTCGGAGGCAGTGCGGGACCCAGCCGGAGCGCGCAGCCTGCCGCGAACTCTCCACCCCTCTTTGCGCCTCGCGCCTCGACCTCTCCCTATTTTTCCACCTCTAATGCTTCGGGAGAAGAGAGGCGGAAGGTGGATGCCGGCCGCTCAGCCGGTCCCCCTCCACGGACTCGCTTTCTTTAGGAATTTAGACGGGGTGGGGGAGGGGTCTGCGGAAGGGGAGGGAGGGAAGCAGGGAGAGAGGAGACGAAAACCTCGCTCCTGGCCCTAATATGAGCTCGGGAGGCCCTGCGATCCCTGGACGACGCCACCGAGCAAACACTTTTGGAGAAAAAGAACAGCAATGTGTTGTTGGAGCGTGGTGCAGGGAAGCTGAGCTCTATGTGTTACTTTCACCTTGCGTTTAAACTGCGCACGTTGGAAACGTTTTTAACGCGCAGGGAGCATTCAGCCACCGGTAGAGAGGGCAGACGAAAGGATCACCAATTCTTTTCAGCAGAAACCGAACAACTCCGTAGTTGTGCGAGGAGGCTGCTCCATTCGTACAGTATTTAAATCAAAGAGAAAATGTTAATTTCCATTGTGCGCTCTCCTAGCAGAATACAGAGACGAGAATTATTGTGGGAGGAGAGATCAAAACAAACAAAACCCCTATTAAAGTTCTTAACTTCTGTTTTCATTTCTTGAGGCTGCGTACCTGACTGGTTTCACCGAAAGTATAAAAAGCACGGTTTTTCTCAAGAGTCTAACAGATGTGGATGAGCCACAATAGGAAAGAATTCCTGGAGGGCCACAATTTTTAAATCTTGTTGTTTGAACATTTTAAAAATTGATTTCCATGCAGTGAAAATGATTGTTAAATTTCTTTGCGAAAAACTGTCGCGATCGATACAAATTCCTTTCAATGCGGACCAAAGTAGGAGACCTGTAGCCCAAATTAATTAACCTTTCCTCGCGATCAATTGGTTTTCTGTTGATTTAGCAGTAATATTGCAGAACATTTAGCTATAATGTATTTTAATGCGATACCTCAGTATGTGAAGGGGAAAAAACTCGTTGAAACATAAAATTGCTTACATTATTTACTTGATATTTAATGAGTTAGTAAAGTATTTTGCCTTCAAAAATTAAATTGTTTGTGTTTTGCAATAAAGTGTGTCTTCCAAGTAAATGGAATTAAGATAATGCCTAATGACTTAATATAATTATGCTCAAAAAGATGATTATTTTAAAGCTACCTTTAGCTGAACGGGTAATCAAATTATGCTGACAATTAAAAACAAAATCTACGCAAATTAAAAAAAAAACATTGGCATCAATAATTACTCATGAGAATAAGAACTTAAAAACTGAAAAGACTTAGACGATTTTACAGCTTTCCTGATTAGAATCCATTTGGGGAGACAGAAAAAATATTAAATATCCCTTCATTCAAGTTTTATTTTCTACCCATGATGTTATTCAGCGTAGCCAAATAACATTAAACAACAGATTACTTTAAACCTTCTGTTTTGTTTTTCCGAATGGTGAAGTTTGGGGACATAATGGTTCTGTCAATGCTTCTGTTTTTAGATCCCCGCCCTGTTCTGCTCAGTGAACTTTGCTCAGCTCCAACGGTAGCCCTCACCTTGCTTTCCTCCCGGGTCATCATTCTAGCAGGCAACATGAGCTGCAGTTTACTAATGAAGTTCAATTTGAACTTGTAAAGTGCATGCATTTTCCTATTATAAACACGTTTGAAAAACCTGACAAGGGGGAAATCCTCAGTTGCTTCCTTTCTTTTCCTCCAACTTCCTCATTTTTCCAATTATGGTAGCTGTGACTCCAGCG